TAATGCTTTGTCCAGGGCTCATTCAATCGAACAAGTATCTGTCGCAGGAATGTTATCGTGCAAAACGTTAGTTTCTCTGGAACTAGACTGCTGGCCTGGAGGGAATTTAAATGTCCCACCAGATTCAGTTTGGTTACCAAATCTCAAGTCATTGCACTTGAGCGCATTGATATTGGTAGATGAAGATTCTATTCAGTGGCTTATTCAAGGGTGTCCTGTGCTCCAAGCATTGGATTTGAGCTTAGCAGGTTTTAGCCATAGCACAACAGGACAGCAGCAGAGAGGTATTATAATATCTAGCTCTTCCTTGATAAAACTAAAACTGGATTGTTGGGCCAGTGAGTGTACTGTTCTTGTGGAGTGTAAAATCCTCGAAAGTTTTGAGTACTCGGATATTTGTGCAAGAAAGCGTAAAATTATTCTTGTTGCCCCAAATCTCAAGTATTTGGCTTACACAGTCGACCGTCTTGGGGAAAGCTTTATACAAATCCCAAATTGTCTTGTTGGAGCCAAAATAAGAATCTGTCACTGGGGTGAACAAGACAGTATTCAGGATATTTGTGAGCATCTTCATCGGGCAGGATGGGTGAAATCACTTTCTTTAGAACAGAATATTCTCAAGGTATATATTTTATGTACTGCACTGAATCAAATTTCAAAGCTTTGAGTTCATAATTGGAACGTCATACTTTCAATTACTAATTAATATTCATCTGATTTTATGAAGGCTCTCCATTATTGCGAACGTCCATTTCCAATTTTCAAGAATTTGACTAGATTGGAGGTTCGGTCCCTGTCTTGCTGGAAAATGCTGCCAAGCTTATTTGGATGTTCCCCTAGCCTTCAAGAGCTTGTTCTTGGTGAAGTGAGTTAAAACAAACTGCTTCCGGAATAGAGTTCACTGCATTTAGATTTGTCAGTTTTCATTTTCTTTATCTTCATTGACAGGTAGCTTGGGATGGCAACTTACAAGAATTCGAATGCCTGTTACAACAGGTTATTCTAGTATGCTTCATTCAACATCTCAAGGAAATAGAAATCCGAAGATTCTGCAAGGAGGAATATGAATTTAAGCTTGTTGAGTACTTTTTGCGCAACGCAAAAGCTTTGCAAAAGGTGACTCTTGGCATGGGATCTTTAGACGCCCCCGAAAGAATATTGTCACTGAAGAGGTATTCCAAGCATTGCCATGTTAAAGGTAGAGGTGTGATGATATATTATTAATATTAAGGAATGCTAACAGAATCCAAAGACAAGATATATATGTATATATATCTTCCCAGAATGTATATATTATATTTTTTATTATGAATTTTTTTTTTGTTCTTCAGTTAATGGTGATGTAAATTTATCATGAATCCTTTTTCCCTAAGTTCTCATGGAAATGTGACCTTTCTTCCTCCTGGTGACCAACCTCATGATGTCTTTCTTTTACGAAACTCACAAAGAGCAAATTCATCCTGGACCCAAAGGTTTTTTGTACCAGATGCATCTGGAGCAAAAATATTCATTACATTTTCTTCCACATTTACTGTTCATTTCAGCTTTATTTGAGTCTTAGACTTGTATTCTTTTAGGGATTTGTTAATATGTTTCTTGGATGGTGTGACAAGAGGATGCAACTTTGTTGATCTTTCGAGTGAACAAATGCCTGTGAGATGGCACTTACCTGAATATACCCACCAAAAAGAAACGGCAAAAAAAACCCTGAAAATGTTCCTTCCTGTTTGAGAAAATGAAATAAAAAAGATGGTATATAGTATTTTCTTTCACATTTACTGTTCAGTTCAATTTTTTTTTTTTTTTTGGCTTTTGAAGATTGAATATGTGAATGTTTGGAGCTTACAATATTGCTTGGAACAGATATCTTGTGATGGATTAAGCAGAGCAAAGCCCATAGAACAGAACAAGAAACAGTTTATATTTGTTGGATAAGATAACTGATAATCTAGGGCTCTTCATTATCAACTCTTCAGAACCTTCTCAGAGAATTTGATAGCTATTTCGGATGCCAATTTCACATACTCAAGTACTATAACCATTTCTTTATGCAATCAACTCCAAATTCATGCTCCCAAAAAAATTCAATAGCAATAACTTGGCATTATCTAACCAAATTTGTGCAAATAAAAGCTACCCCTACACTATACAAAATACCCGTTCCTAACTAGACTCTATAAAATGTGATTAGGAGGGGATGTAAGTTGAAATTGTTTTTCAAATTAAGAGTTGGCGAAAGAGCGGTTGAATATCTAGTGAATACTTTAGATCAAATTTTAATTGTACAGGTTTGCATTTGAAGCCCTGGGTTCAAATTTCCATACCCCTTCTTCTTTCTTAAGTCTCACTCCTCTCCTATTGGGGAAAAAAAAAAAAAAAGGGCTGCATTTCTACACAGGCCTTTGGTAGGCTAGATTTGAGTCAAGAGTTTTGGCTGAAGCTAGAATTTGAAACTAGTATGGTCATGTACAATTGCCACGTTACTATTTATTCATGCAATCAACATATAGGGTACATAAAATCTGCATATTTTCATTTCAATACAGGTGTCCATATGCGAGATAGATAGTTGTTCATGTTACTATCTATCTTTCCTTTGTCTTTTGATTTTTGTTCATCTTCTTTTTTTTTTCTTTTTTTACAATTATGAGTAGTATTTTGTCCTGACTTCTTTATGAATTTAGGAAATCTCTTCATAGAGAAAAAAATAACAGATATATATATATATATATATATATATATATATATATATAGAGAGAGAGAGAGAGAGAGAGAGAGAAGGCATTTTCAAACGACTAAATAAGGTAGTCGAGTGGACCAAACTTTCTTCCTCATTACAGAAGAAGAGGTAAAAAAAATTTAAAAATTTTTTTAAAAAAAAGAAAGGGAGAGGAACTTAAATGGACAAATGATAATGATACTGGCTTTGATTGAAGCATCCACAGCATATGCAACTATTAGTAGGCATGGAAACAATAATACTATCAAAATCAACAAATAACACTATGGTTTCATTAGATAAAATGTTATTAAGAACAACCATACGCAATTATTTTATGAACATCAATAGATTTCGAAGGTAGGGAGGACATTTTATTAAGAACGGTAGATCAATGTGATCTACTGTTAAAAAAAACTATTATCCAGTATTCGTTTGTTAGAAAAAATGTGATTCAACCAAAGTTTGTCCGAAAGATTGCGCTGCGGCCAAATCATGGATAGAGGTGACTTCAATATTTGATTCAGTCCTTGATTTCCAACATCATTGGTCGTAAAGAATAGAGAATTTTCTTTGCGAACATTTAATACTCTCTTCGTCCCAATTATTTAGTCATGTTTGGGGAATCCGAGTTTTTAAAAATAGTGGTTTGATTGTGATGTTTGTGCTTCTCTTTTCAATTTTATCCCTACAAATTCAAAATTTAAATTTGAATGGTAACATGGATATGATTAGAAAGAAAAGTTATATTGGAAAGAGAGACTAAAAGGTGGTTTAATTTTTTAACATGACAAATGTTTTGAGATATCTCAAAATGAAATGTATAACGCTTTCAATAGGACGAAGGGAGTAGTAAATTTAATTTAGTGATTTAGTGATTTAATTTTATATTTTTAATAATACTGTCATCATAATATCTTAAGACTTTGTTAAGATATTATCTTAAGACTCCAAATTTACATGCCATTATAACATTATTAAGGGTATCGGTGTGATATCAATCTTAAGATATTATGTTACATAGAGAATTTGAAAATAATTTGATTTGGAATGAAGTTGGATTAATATCAATTTCCAAAAAAAAAGGGAAACTCAACAAGAAAACTAAAAAAAAAAAAAGAAAAATTTAGTAGATTCAATTATAGTTTTATGAAGAAAGAATAATGATATATCTGAGCATTTTAGTGTGTAAGGTATGTTTTGCTAATGGTGTCGCTTTAGGGAACAAAATTTTTGAATACGTGTTTAATTTGAGCTCGTACCCTGAACACATGCAATGTGACACAAGGAAATGTGAGAACCCTTCTATTGGATTTTAGAATTACATTGAACCATGATAGAAAATAATCTTTTGCTGAATATTCGAACTTAACTTCTTTGAAATTGAAGAGGAGGGATGGTTTTGGTGATACACAGGGAGGAAATGCAAGTGAAAAATCTTGTGTTCGAGACCTTTCACTTGAAAAAAAAGTTTTGAAGTTTGAAGTCCAATGCCCGGGCAATATCACAATGGTCTAAATGAATAAAACGAAATCAAGACAATAAAAAACAGACAAATGGTAAGGAAATGAAGTACTAAAAAGTAATAAATGGTTCAGCAAATGATATGAAACTGTAGCAAAATGAGACTTTACGTTTGGGAACAATAAGTACAGCCAATATAATTCTTGTACTCGGAAGCTATATTATGGTTTATAAGGGTAAAATACAAAAAACCCCCTTGTAGTTTGAAGTTCTGTCATAATACCTCCTTTTTTGTTTAAAAACTTCTACATAACTCCCTTATATTTTGGATTTATTTGAAACTTTTCAAAAGAGAATAAAATGCCCTTGAATGCCCTATCTGCGTTTTTATTTGGTCAATGTAACTGTTTTCCGTACCAGAGCTTATTTTCTTCTTCCTAAAATGCCCCTAAATGGTCGCTAATTTGGGTGAACAAAAACATGTTTTCGGCAAGACACCACATGGGTCCTAAATTGGCATTAGAATTTTAGTTAAAGGACTAAATTCATAAATAAAACTGTTAGGACCAAATCGGCGTAAGTGAAAATGCTTGGAGACTAAATTGGCGATTTTCCCTTGTACAAAACACGAGTTTGGAGATTAATATGGTTTTCGTTGTAATCCTTTATCTACCTACTACTATGAGGGGCAATCTTGCAACCAATAATTGTAAGGATTATGATACGTCTCTAAAGTTTAATGCCTAATTTACCCTTCTCATGGTTTGAATCAAACATTGGTACATAAAGCTGTAAACGGCATCCAGCTAGAGGACTATTTTTATGCAGCGTCTCACACAAAATTTGGAGATAAAATCAACGCAATCTTGACCAGTTTCAAGTACAAATATCCGCTTTCTATTGAGCTTCTATTGGCCTAAGCCTGTCTTTCAATCTTAGACCTAATCAGACAGTGAATTTTTGAATCTAATAGCAGAAGCAGCAACAGTGAATTTTTGAATCTAATAGCAGCAGCAGCAACACCGGCTTGCCATGTTAAAATCTAAATTAAAGTTCTCATCGTGTTGACAATTTGGTATGACATGCTTGACACCAAATCCATGAATTCCAACATAGCAAAAGCTACATCCAAAAGCAGCTAGGATTTCATGTATCTCATCCAATACCTCATGGCCATTCCATTCTGGGCAAGTTGCATGAGGTGCATATCAAGCAAGTATTCCTCTATTAAACATTATTACGTCTAACTAAGTAAAGATCAACTATCAAGTCCTACAAAGCTTTCCACTGCAATCCTAGTTCCATCTAGTTCAACCCTCACAGGTACAACACCTAGGCTTAAATACTGAAAAATCTATTCATATTGAGATTCCGCTAGCTTCAGCTTCAAGATACTTACAGATTCTCTCCATGACTTCCCTACCCTTAGCACTATTCTGTTGAAATTTATCCACACACTTTTGCTCAATCTTCTCCGCCATTGACGCCAGTGATGATAGGGGTTTTATTCTAATGCTAGTTTCCTGTTTGCAAATTGTCCATTCATTAGGATTCTGTGGATGGGGATCATAGCGGATCTTCTCCTCCACCTCAATGAACTTCTGCAGACTGATATTGCGGGTAGCAAGTTGCATCGATCGAGAATTGGCATCAACAACTGTAGATTCAACACAATGACAGATGTCTTGACCAATGATTCTGCGAATAAACCAAGGTCCGGGGGCATGGATGGTGATGGCTCGTGTTGTGTAAAGCTTTCCTGAAGTAGAGTCAAGCTTGCGGTTCAAAGTATCCACTTCAAGGATGTGAGACAGTGTGCTCTTGTTCTCAGGATCAGCAAATTTGCGCCAGGAAGCAGTAGTCACACGCTCCCATGGGTGTTTGTAGGTGTGCTCTTGTGCATATGCCCTCACCATCGTGTCCCTGCAGTATTTAGTCATGAATCAGAAACACAATCAAAAAAGAAACAAACAAGGCTGAGATAAAAGGCAGTTAGCAAATTTGTCTCTGAAATCAAATACATTAAGTTTACGACTAAGCAATTGGCTAAGATAATAGTAATATGAACATCTTTCTGACAACCACCCAAAAGCTATCACACGATTGTATCCAGCAAGCTGCAGCAAAATTTCATGTCAAAAACCAACCACTGACATAATCATTGCTTGAAGAAGTATAACACCAAACTTCAATGTTATTTACAAAAAAAAGCCATTAAAGCAGGAAAGCAGGGTAAAAAACCATGTAAAAACTAGCTAGATAATAAAATCCAACCACTAATCCTCAAAAACCAGAATTATATGGAACCGGCGAAATTAAATCACTAAACAAAGAACTAATTAAGCTACTTCTCACCACCACTGCACTTTCTTTTTCATCTTGCTCAATCTCTGTATCCTTAAGAAAGAAATCAATAATTCTTGCTCAATCTCAATATCCTTAAGAAACAAATGAGAAGTTTATTAAAAAACTCACCATTACAGACCTAATACCACAAACATTTATGCATATGCTTAACAGAGAAGAACTGAGAACAATAAAAAGATAATATCAGCACAGCCATCACAAATATTAACCCCAAAGCAACAAAAGAAACAAAAATCTTTGGTCAAGTGACAGCTCAAAACTGACAATAAAACAAGATGGGTTCTTCACAAAATAAAAAATCCATCTCAAAATCAATGACAGAAAAAGAAAATTCCAAAAACAAGAACAGAAAGCAGAATTCAATCATAACTACACATAAAGAGGCAATTTTCCCAATTACTGGAGCAAATGAAGAGAAATCCCAAGCAGGATTTGCCAAGAAGTATAGATCGAGAGATTTACCTTCGAACTGGATAAAGAGTCATTATAGTAAATACAGAAAGTGGCTGCAAAGAATGCTGATGATACTCTACTATGACTATCCAAAAATAATTGTTGTGGCTTTTTCAACATGTTCTTGGAATCATGGGTTTATTCATTTTTGCAGAGTGCCTTTGAAAAATTAACTCATGTAAGAGTTGTCATCAACCTTTACTTTTATCTGTAAATCAGAATCTATCCATCCAAAAAGGTTCAAGAATTTGGAATACCAAACGAAAGTGTTAATCTGCAATTTTGACATCCATATAACCTAATAACCTCATGAAACTGTCGAAACTTGATTGAAGTAAAAATTTTGTAACTCGATTCAAGGAAAATTTCTAGATACAACTAGAAGGCCGAAATATCCAACTCATGCACTGTAGAATTTACGGTTTTTTTCAATTGTTGGCATATACCCTGAGCCTCCTTAACATAGGAAGCAGAGGCAAAGAGCTCGTAATGATTGAAAATAGCCAATATTGGTGGACCTAAAAATATATTTTGGCAGCACTTAGGTACTAAAGAGTGAAAGGAAACTGGTACTGTGATTCAGTTCATCTAATTTTTACCTAGTCTACAGGTTGTACTCAGGGTTCACTTAAGAAAGCGATTCTGCCCCCTAAATCCTAGATAGCATTGCAGCTGCATCAAGGTTTATTTTCAAATAACAACTTTACCAGAGATACCCCCCCCCCCAAACTAATCATCCCAGTCCACAGTTTCGGATTTGGAGTTTACCAAGTTACCTCTAGAGTTCCGGTAATCTCATGATCATAAAAGGCCTTAGGAGATGCATCCAACGCAACTATTCTTTCTCTGACAAGCAGATACAGAGCTTTGAAGTTGACTAGCTCAACTTCTCATCTATAAATGCAGCAAACTTTCCCATTGTAGTCCAAAGTAATTCGTATCAAAGTAACCTTGATACATGACCAAGCAACCGAAAGGTTAATTATCAGAATGACTATTCGTTTATCTTGTTTTATAGTGCACCAACATAGAACATATTCTAAAAGACTACGGTAATCTCTGAAAACACTGAATATACTTACACACACACACACACACACACACACACATAAATATAGAATATACACTCAATAATTTGTCAATTTAGGCGAATGACAGCGGAGAACATAGAGATTGGATTGCTTACAGTGTCACTTAACAACAGAATTTATTTATTTTTTTAAATTTGGGCACTTGTGCTATAATGCCTAACTACAGTTGCAGTTGCATGATCCATCCAACTGGAAGGCCTCAAATTGTACACAAAAAAAAGGGCCGGCGAAACAGCCTTTGATAACATAGCCTGCAAATGTTTCATCTAATTTATTTCCAATTCGTTATGGAATTTTTTTTTTGGGTTTAATTGATTACGGTTACTACTAGCTAGGTTTCCAAGGACTTGTCTAAAATAAACTATGTCAGCTTCACAAAACATGAAAATTGGGAGTCTTTAAAGTCACAAACAAATTAGACAATCAGAACGCTGGCCAAGTAGAAGGAAATACCGAAGAGAGACCCGTCCAATCGAAACTGATAGCTTCACGGCGGCGGCAGCTCTAATGATCAAACAGAGAGGAGGGTGCGTTCCGGCGGTGAACAAGAAAAAGCGGATACAAACTGACGGCGGGGAGGGGTAGGGCTACCAATTGTACTGATGAAAAGGAGGGGAGAGACGGAAGAAAGGGCCGATTCAAACTGTCATCGTCGGTGTCACTAAGTGCAAGCGGCGCCTAAACCGGCTCCTCCGACCCACGTGGCCTATACCTGATTTCCAGTAAAATGACGGAAACACCCCATAAATTTGACATTATCACACTATGCCTGCCCGCTTCACAAGCACAAAGAAGCAGTCAAAATGGGTGATTCGGATGGATTTCGACAAGTCATTATAGAGATTTGGATTTTAAGTAGAGGTGTCAAAATGGATGAGTCCAACGGATTTGGACGGATCATAATTCATCAATGGATATAATTGGGTCAACAAATGGATATAAATGAATAGTCTTAGGTAAAGGTGTTAAAATGGGTGATTGAGGTGGATTTGGACAGATCATGGTTGGATCAACTCATTATACCCATCTAAATAGATAGATATAAATGTGTACCAATCCTTGAAGATGGAGATACCATCTCAGATGCAATAGCAATATTAATATTCACTATTATAAAGACATTCGTTGGTGACCTAGAGATATTTAGGGAAAAAATCATCAGAATTATTAAATAACTTCAAATGCAAAAGTCTCTCAGATTTCAGATGGTAGAAAGATACATTCTTAATTAGAATATATGCAAGATCAGACGACAACAAAGCCTATTGGAAAGAAAAATTCCTTAATGACCTTCACAAATCACTACGAGACTTTAGGTCGAGAAGAACTCAAGAGTCAATTCAATGAGATTGTACCATGGAAAGCAATAACCTATGGACAATTAACTAGTCAATAAATAGGTATGGGTATGCCCAATTATTTAGTTACGAGTCACTTAAAATTCTACTTACTTTTTTAAAAAAAATTTCGCATGTTATTTGATGAGAAATAATGGTATTTTGTTGTTATTAGATTGGTAAGAAATTTAAATTTATCTACTTAATACTCACTAAAAGTTGAGTTGAGATGTATAATTATTTTTAAATAGGTAAGTTGAGTCAATTCACTGCCCATCAATTAAATGGGTTTAATTGAGTACCCATTCAAGATTAATGGGCAAGTTTGGGCAGATAATTAGTGAGTCAATATAATTGGTTGTGATTGACTCCTCTATTTTTAGGGTCCGTTTGGTTCATCGGATGACATAGAATTGGATTAATCATCCTCTGTCATCTTATGTTTGATTGCATTTTATATATGAGATGATACATCCTACCTATCCGAATTAATCCCCTATTCATGTGATAAAATAATCCTATAGGGTAGGTGATATTAGTCCTACCGAGATGACTAATAGATAGGATGAGAAAATTTTAAATCAACTTATCTTTACAAAAAATACAAATTTATACTCTTATAATTATATAACCATACTCTTACAAGATAATATAATATGAATGAACTAATTTGCCCCTACTAATTAATTTTAAAATTTGTTGACTAATTTGTCCCTACTACCAACATAACAATATTTGGACTAATTTGCCCTTATGAATGATGCAAATTCATACTGACTATGATATAATCATACTCTCACATAATAATATGATAATAAAGGACTAATTAGCCCTTACTAATTATAATAACATTTTTTGACTAATATGCCCATATTCATTATTTTAAAAATTTTGACTAATTTATCCCTATTAATTAATTTAATTTTTTGACTAATTCGCCATAGTAACATCATAATAGAAGGATTATATTGCCCTTGGACAAAATTACCCTTACTAAGCTTATTTTCGAAACCAAATTCTATAGAAATACATAACCTTATCAATTGGGTTTTTTGAATGAGGATTTTAATAAACTCAAGTTCGATTCAAAGAAAAATCTTCTATATTAGCTTGAGTTAAGCTCATTTATTTCTCTTAAATGGTTAGGTTTTAATCGATTTAACCCTAATTTAGCCAAAACTAAGCCCATTATTTAATTGAATTTCAAATTTATGTTCAAAAACTTGGTTAAAATCTATTTTTAAGGGTCCGAATCGGTTGAGTTTGAGTGAATGCAAATTTTTATATATCAAAACCCTCGATTTACTTTATAATTCTAAGTTTCAAACTACTCTATTTTAATAAAAGTTATAAATATTAAAATTTTTATTAAATATTAAATTAATTTATTAATGTTTTATAAAATATTAAATTATTTTGTGAACCCAATTGATATCCGACCCGTGAACCAAAGCGCTGACTAACTCATGAAAATCGAATTAGTGATTTTGTGAATTGTCTCAAGATTCGCTAATGCGGATATCCATATATTTGCATATCCGTATTATGCGGATCGTATCAGTTGGATATTCAATCCGTATTCGATTTTTTCTTTTAAAAAATTATAAATTCTTAAGATAGAATGAAATTTAAATGCACTATAGTTTCAAAAGTATCATATAAGTGAAATATTGTACTTACATATGAGTATTTAGTCATTAAAAAAGAGTTTTTTTTTGTCTAAATTAATCTTTTTTTGTTGCAATATAAAGTAACTTCCATAATTTTTTTCATTTTTTATTCAAACAAAAAAGATACAATATTTCATCTATAATTTTTTGATCAATAAAATATATGACCATATTTCTAAAAACTTAACACCATATACAAAGAAAACCTATTTTGAAAGAGGACACAAAAATAAAAATAATAAACAAGAGATAAAACTATTATAAATTAGTGGATTCGATGTATAAAAAATTCTAAAAAATTTTAAAAAATATTATACAGATCACAAAAAATAATATCTAAATCCAATATGCATTACTCCTTGATCCGGATGTAACCCAATCCACGTATGATCTGCCAGATCGGATATCCCCTAATTCGAATCGGATCACTAGATTTTTCATATGAGGAGGTCAAGATGCAAACCTCTATCGTTGGATGCGCTCACAGGATATCAAATAGAAAGTAAATAACAAACAAAAGGGTATTAATTTATTAATGAGTACCTGTTACTCGTCAAGATCTACGTTAGGTATTAGATTTTTGAAAAGGTAAGATTTATTAGCGAAAGCATACACCACCTCCTCACCCCTGATGGTGATGGTTTGATGACTATCAAGTTGGAATCTACATACTGTGGCTGCTTACTTTCAGTCAGTGTGGAATGGTCTAATCTAAGCCAATATATATCTTTTTCATATTTTAGTGTATGATTTATTAATCTGTAAGGATATATATTTGTTTGCTTTTGTGGTTTATTATGCTTACAACATCCGCCCTGTGTTTATACTAGGGTGAATCTAATGTAGTAATTCATTGTACATACGTTAGTTATTGTTTTGTGTGTGGGATTAGGGTGTGGAAGAAGGCGAGTTGTTGAGATGCAAATTCTCACCTAAAGCAATATTGTTCAGCAGCATATCATTGTTGTACGTCATCATATGACCCTATTTTTTATTGCATGTCTTAATCTGTTTTCTTCCGGTCAAAATTTCCAAGTCTTCCTTCACAATTCTGGCTTTCCAAGTCTATTCCTTATTTCAATTGCCTTCTGGCTTGCCTCTGCTGATTACATCTAGTATTGCAGAATGATGAAGCAATGAAGAAGAAAAAATTCCCAAGTATCTGGGATAGCTGAGGACGTTTGGACTGACTTCAAGAAATCAGTTTATGCACAATGAAAATCAAAGTTTGATCAGTCATTCCTCGAAGTCGTTGTTAGTCATCGGTTGATGGGATTACTCTTGTCTTTTTTGCTGATTGATTTTAATATTAATTGTTCTTTCCTCTACCTCAAAATCGATAGATACATGGTTCTTGAAAGTCGGCAATATGCTTCTAGATGCCGGCCAGGGATGCTTTTGTTTGCAGTTCATCACTGTTCATATCTTGTTATCCTGTTTCATTTGATACTGTTCGTCTTCCGTTTCTATCAGTTTTGATTACTTCAGACTTGGCAACTGATAAGTTCATTGATCTTGTTATCCAATTAAATAGTTATAATGGAATTGACTCATGGAACTGATAGTCTTGTCTAATGAGACGCTACGCTTTGAAGGCATACCAAGAACACTGCATAGTTCATGGTAAAAGACCAAAATAGCTAAACATGTATCATTGAACAAATACTAATTATCAGAAGTCAAAGCCAGATATCTGGATTCTATCCAACTATAGTCACGAGAGAATCCACCTTGTTGAACTTGAGTTTGATGGGAATTCCTGGCTTAATCATGGGAGAGGACGTGCACATATAAACTTGAGATTCAATTCCATCCAATTCGATCCAATTTGATCAGAAAATTAGGATACTTGATCTGTATTATTTGATCGGATCAAAAGAGAATCGGATACTCACTTAGATGTGGGGCGGGTTAGGGTCACATACCCACCCCACATATATATTTTTTAATTTTTGTATATATACTATAAAATAATATTTTTAGAGCTATATGAGTAATTTCAGTGAACAAATTGCATTACACATATGAGAGACTATAGCTTATTTACAAGATTCATTTGTAGAGATTATAATTTTATGTTTTATAGAAAAGAGTTTAATTAATGTGGAATATATATTTAAACAAAGGTGCTACTTATTTCAAACTTTTATTGATTTTGAATTCTTTTAATTTTTTCCTTTTTCTTGTATTCTCTTCGCATGTTTGTTTCTTGGTGGGAAAATTTTTTTGAGAAAAAAAATCTTTATTAAAGTTTAGATGAATGTGTAAAATACAAAATTAAATAATAAGTGGGGCGGACTGGATACCCATTGCCCCAATCCTATCTCAGCGGGTACCCTATAACCTGATACTCGCTGATATGCGAGACAGAAAAGAATCAGAAAATAGCTGACTCATAAGGTATAGATTGGGTTGGGTTAGCCAAATGGTACACGTTACCGGAAGGTGAATATAGAAAACATTTTATTCGTAAGGTGCATTGTCACTTACTAAGTTTAGAAAGCTACTAAGATTTTCATCAACTTGGAAATTTAGATCGTCAAATTTGAAAAAGTGGAAATTGCTAAATGCCTAAGATTGCAGGGAGGAAGTGTCTTCTGATTTACTTTCAATAAACCATCAATTTGAAACTGAAATTTAGCCAATCATTCAACAAAGGTTTCTTCTTGTCCTTTGTTTGTTTTAATTCATTATTGATGGCTACTTCTTTTATACTTTTTTCGTCTTTCTGCTTAGATGTTCTTTAGGTTCTTGAAGCATCCAATGTATTTGG